TTCTGTGCCAGTCATCTTTGCTCCAGCCTGCGTCCCCAGACTGCTGGCCATCTCCCAGTTATGGGGCAGTATTCCCAAGGGATATGCGACCCTAAAAGTGCGGGGGAATGAGAGCAAATACTGCCCTCACTCCCAAATAATTGGCCCAAAGCCTATGTTGCATTAAGAGTTGGCCAGGAGTCAGAATGGTGACGGAGTAGTGGGACCACAGAGGCTCCCTCCCTAGCACCCGATGAACTGAACCAAAAAGCAGTTGAGAACAGAAACATTCGCCAGCATCAACCCACCAAACAAACAAAAAAACAACCAATCACAACTTTTATGCCAAAGGAAGGCAACACCCCACCCAACCCTTCAGAAGCAGTCCTGGGAAAAGAAGGGAAGGGTACAAAATCCTAAGGACCACTACTAATTCAGATCGGTATGAAAGAAGTTGGTGGGGGAGGTGAGTAGACGGCCTTGGTAAATGTCAGGAGACATCAGCAGCAGAGGCAGGAAGGCAACCCAGGCAGGCCATCTCTGCATTGAGCTACAGGAAAGAGACCGCAGGAGTGCGTGCGCCCTGGCTAGGCAGAGCAGGCTCTGGTATAAGACATTTCATTGGCTTCCAGAAGAGAGAACAGCACACTGGACCCCCAGCCAGGGCAGGCCTAGTTCTCCTACCTCTCTTCTGTGGCAGAACACCACGTAGAAAGCATCAGCCAAGCACAAATTGTAGCTCAGAGAGAGAGAGTGCCAAGGATACCTTGGCTTACTATAAAAGAAGCTCTGGATAGAGATGCTCCTGTTAAATGTGAGCAAGATGAAGATAAGTGTCATGACAACCATGTGAAAATGCTACAGCAGTATAAAGACAGGAACATGGATTGCAAAGAGTAAACATACAACCAGTTGGGCCTGAGCAGAAACCCAAAGCAAGAAGACGCAACCTCACAAGTATTTTGTGCTATCGGAGAGCTCAGGATCAGTTCAGTGGAAATAAAAACTCAACATCGTTATGATAAAACAAGAATGAGATTTTAAAAAAATTTTTATTTTTAATTGTGATAAAATATCTATAACATGAAACTTGCTATCTTTCCCATTTTTAGGTGTACAGTTCAGTAGTGTTAAGTGCATTCACACTGTGCAGCCAACCTCCAGAACTCTTTTCGTTTTGCAAAACTGACTACCCATTAAACAATTCCCCATTCCCCCCACCCTCTCCCCTGGTAACCACCATTCTTTCCATCTCAATGAATTTGACTACTGCAGGTACCTCATAGGAATGGGATCATAGAGGACTTGTCCTTTGGTGACTGGCTTATTTCACTTAGCAGAATGTTCTTAAGAGTCACCCATGTTGTAGTTTGAGTCAGAATGTTTTCCCTTTTAAGACTGAATAATATTCTAATATATAATATACCACATTTTGTTTCTCCTTCCATTCCTTGATAGACACTTGGGTTACTTCCACTTTTTGCTATTGGGAACAATGCTGCTATGAAGATGGGTGTATAAATATCTCTTTGAGTCACCTGCTGTCAGGCCTTTTGGGTATATGACCCAGAATTAGAACTGCTAGATTGTATGATAATTCCATGCTTCATTGTTTAAGGAGCCACCATACTCTTTTCCATAGCAGCTGTGCCATTTTTACATCCTCACCAACACTTGTTATTTTGGGGGTTTTTTTGACAATAGCCATCCTAATGGATATGAAGTGGAATGGGATTTTTAAAAGACACACTGAAGAGGGGTACCTGGATGGCCCAGTTAGTTAAGTGTCTGACTCTTGGTTTTAGCTCAGGTCAAGATCTCAGGGTTATGAGATTGAGCCCTGTGTTGGGATTCTCTCCCTCTCCTTCTGCCCCTCCTCCTGATGTTCTCTCTCTCTTTCTAAAAATAAATTAATATATCTTAATAAAAAAAAAAGATAGATTGAGGAGCCAAGAAAAGAAATTGAGGAAAAAACACAGTACAAGGTTTGAGCCAGAAAAAAACAAAACAAAATAAAACAGCATAAACATAACCAAACATCAAATGAATGGCATAGGGGAAAAGCATGAGATGATCACAGAAAAGGAGTTAAAGTAATAAGACAGAAAATGACAGCTATGGTGGATGGGGAAAGCCATCTAGCATCTGGGGCAGAAAAAGAATGCAGAGATATGACATAGGAAAATTTTTCTGGAAGGGAGAAAGAGCTAAATCTTCGGTCAGAATATCATGTGACATACCTTAAAAAGCAAATAGAGAATGACCAAGATATACCTGATCTAAAGCTTCAGTACCGTAAGCCCCAGGCTGAAAAAGCAAGTTATACAAAATGGGGGACGGTCAAATTGGTGTCAGAATTCTCCATAACCAACATTCCCCTCCATAAAATAGGAGCATGATCTACAAACTTGTGAGAGGAATAAAATTACTTAAATAATGTAAAATTTTATTTATAATTTAAAGCATAATATTGAAATGATATGAAATTGTTTTCACAAATGTTATTATTCAACAATGAAAGCAGTAAGCAGACAGTCTTGATCTGAAGGAACTAAAGGAATGTAGTGACCATGAGCATTTCTTGATAAAAATTACCTTATGATGAAATTGACCCAAATGACTCAAATCAATGGGTGATGGGTATTAAGGAAGGCACTTGTTATGATGAGCGCTGGGGGTTATATGTAAGTGATCAATCACTAAATTCTACTTTTGAAACTAATATTGCACTGTATGTTAACTAACTAGAATTCATATAAAAACAAAAAAAATAACAGATTCAGGTGTTGAAAAGCCATGGTTAAAAAAGAAGTAACAACAAAAAAGAATTGATGAACATTCAAACCATTATAATGTAGTTTTAAGACTAAACAACTTAGGGGAAGATTATTGTCCCAGAACCATAAAAATGTTATGCACCCAACACAACAAAAATGATATAAGCAATGGGGCGCCTGAGGGGGCTCAGTCAGTTAAGCATCCAACTCTTGATTTCAGCTGAGGTCGTGATCTCAGGGTTGTGAGACCGAGCCCCGTGTTGGGTTCTGCGCTAGGCATGGAGCCTGCTTGAGATTCTCTCTCCCTTTCTCTGTCCTTTGCTCCCTGCTTGTGCACATGCGTTCTCTCTCTCTCTCTCTCTAAAAAAAAAAAAAAGAAAGAAAAATGATATAGGCAAGAAAAATGATGAGGTATGAGGAAAGGAAGAAGAAATATCAAGTGTTAATTATAGAGCGTTAATGTGAAAATATATAGTTTACCTCTTAAATTTTCATATACTTTTTTCAAAAGCAGCGTTAAATCTTTTGTGTGTGTATATGTGTTGCTGTTGTTGTTTAAATATTTAACTGTAGGTCAAAAAGCCATTTAGTTTTCACTTCTGTTTCTTTTTTTTCTGTTACATTCAAGCAAAATTAAATAACCTTTATGAGAAAAAAAGCTATTAATACAGGATATGTGCCTGAAGAGATGTCCAGAATGATGTTCAACAACTCTAAGTACAGTGGTGGGTTATTGGATGACTTGTTTTCTCCTTTATACTTTTTTATGTTGCTTATACTTTTTTAATGAGCCCACATTTTTGTAAAAGTGCCCATAGTTTTATAAAAGCCATGAAATCATTACCGTTAATATAAAATATTGGTCAGCAGTATTGTCATTATTCTAGTTGCTTCTTAATCATTTAAAAAAAAATTAACAGTTTTGTCTTGACAAACACCAGAAAGAGCCCTTGACAGTATTTTTCCAACTCATGCCTAAGATACTGGCACGAGGCATGTGCAGTGGAAAACATTAGCTATTCTAATAGGATGTGTTTTGCCTTCTTATTGAATTCATAATCTAAACAATGAGCTGGTGAGTGTGAAGTGGGATTGACTCGGATTCCCGTGATGCTGGTGACAGAAAGTATAGTACAAGTGTAGTGTGGTTTGTTGTACACATGGCTGAATGATGAATATGAAAACCTCACTTCTAGTTTGGGCCTAACCAATAAGCAGCACCAGAATTTTGGGCGTTTGGAGTGCTTCTCAGACTCTGCACTTCCCTACGTTGAACTTCTTTCTTTCTTGAATTTCCCATAGTCTCCTGCCTCCGGGCCTTTGCACAGGCAGTTCCCTCTGCCCAAGGCACATTTCCTTACCTTTCCCTTCATGGGGCTCTTTCTTGTATTCAGGGCTTAGCTTTAGCCTCCTTCCTCTAGAAGGCCTTCTGCATTGTCATGGATGGTGCTTCTTCCTGCATGCCTGAGGCTCGGTGTCAGAGTTCCCGCAGCAGACCGGCCTCGGGAAGACTGGGATCTAGGAAGTGCAAGGTTAGGTTCTCTCATTGCCCTGCCACAGCACATGCTTTTGTCTTCCTCCTCTGGGCTCTGCCAGGGTGGTAACTCTCCTCCTGCTACCTCATGGCCTCTGAGTTTTCTTTTCTTCTCAGCAGGCCTCTTCGGTTCTGCTTCTGTTAGAAACTGCAACTTTGCTTGGTAATGTTCAAAGTTTATCAGGAGAGAGAAGCTGTTCTATTTAGCCCATTTCCCTCCAGCACTAGCCATTCCTGCAGGAGAGAGTGTCACCCCTGCGCCCACAGGCCCATACCGGGGGGGGAACTGGGGCCCAGGCTGGCATTCTTAATTCCCTCTGAACCCCCTGCTTGGCCTCTCTGGTCAAAGAGATGGAAGGGGAGAAAGCATGTTACAAAGTGGGAAGTGCCATGAAACCCTAAACATATGTGTTATATATAAAAGACCAAAAAGAAAGATCAAATCATTATCAGTGGGGTTTCTCTGATGGGATTTCTAGTTATTTTTATTTTCTTGTTTTCACATTTTCTGTAGTAAACATTTTCACAGACGCTAAATGGCATTTTGTAAGCTCCTATATATGACCTTTTCCTGAACAGCCCCCAAGAAGACTAGGGAGAGTTGGCTCTGCCAGATGAAGCATCATGCTGTTCTATTCACATTTTTCATCTCTGCCCCCATCTGATGTGTTTGTTTGCTCTTTTCACCCTCATGTCTTTCTTTTCCCCAGATGACCAGATGACTGGGATCCCCCTGCACATCCTCAACAGCTCCCCATCCGACCAGCAGATCAACCAGCTGGCTCAGAGGCTGGGCCCCGAGTGGGAGCCTGTGGTGCTGTCTTTGGGCCTGTCCCAGACGGATATCTACCGCTGTAAGGCCAACCACCCCCACAACGTACAGTCGCAGATGGTGGAGGCCTTCATCCGCTGGAGGCAGCGCTATGGGAAGCAGGCCACCTTCCGGAGCTTGCACAGAGGCCTCCAGGCCGTGGAGGCGGACCCCTCGGTGCTCCAGCACATGTTGGAGTGATGGGGTCTCCCTCCATCAATCCACGGGGGAGTGTGTCCCCAAGTTGCATGTGCAGAATCCTGACTTTCTCCCAGGGCAGGTAGTTTTGGGGGCTTGGGGGGGGGTCTTTTCTTTTTAATGATCTGTAGATGAAAGGAGAAAATGGGATTTCCAGTTGATGTTACTTGAAAGGCCAGATTACTCAGTAGCTCTACCACATTGACTTGACAATTCATTGTTTTTAGTTGCTTGAAGACTGAATTGTTTTAATTGTGCAGGTTTTAATTGTGTGAGTGCCCTTTAATAAACTGGTAAATCATAATGGCTCCAAAAACATTACTGTCTTACAATATTACATGCAGGTGTCCTATATATATACAGATACATATATATATAAAGCATCTACTTTGATATTGCCTGGGAACTGAACTGTGGACTTTGCTGTTAATGATGATGATAATAAAAAGTGAATTACTCTATATAATGTGGCCTTTCATGAGACAGTATTGTTTGTTTTTCCTCATTTCCTGTAGTACAGAGATTAAGGGTGTAAAAGTCCAGTAGTCCTTTTTTTGAAACAGAATTACTAGTAATAACAAAATGGTTACTTTCTCCAGTCAGGATAAATCGCTCAGACAGGGCGTCTGAATTAAATTTAAGACAGTGAAGCTCTCTGCAAGACCAGTTCAGATACCCGCATGCATCCCTGAGCCCTTCATCTTTAAGAAATTGCTTAAGAAAATCCTGTGTTTAAAGGACTTAGTTGGGGGACAAAAGAGGGTGTGGTCTTTCCGTTGAGGTTGTCGTGATTGAAGTGTTACGCTCCTAAGGAGTATGACTTAGTCTTCTGTCTTTCTATTAATGACACATGGTATTTGTCAAATGCTTTACTGTTTTCAAGGTTTTTCATGTACGTGATTTCATTTGGGCCTCACAAAAATCCTACGAAGTAGTTGGGCAAGAGAGGTGAGTCTCCTTCTGTAGTGAGATTAAGTGATTTGCTGGGGGCGAATGAGCTAGAATGTGTCTTTGGAGCCTTGCTTCTTTCCAGCTGCTCCCTGCTGCTTCTCCTCCCCTCTCCCATGCTCCTCGAAGAAGCTTGAGTCCTGTTCTCCTGTTAGCAGCATTGCCGTGGACAAGCTGCTCCTCTTCTCTAACCCTGCACAAAAGAGGAAATGATTGTCCCCTCCTCCAAGATTTTTGTGATAATTAAGGGAAAAATGTCTGCCCAGGACTCATCTAGTGCCTGGCCCTTAGTCAGCTCTCAGAAGTGGTAACTGTTCATTTGCTGCTGTGGCTGCCCATGGATGAAGTTCACAGGCAGAGCTGGTTAGTGGCTAAAGCTGAGGGCACTGCAGAAGGAAGTGCTGCGACCATGTTCCCTGCCAAGCTTTAACATGTGATGTAATTTACTAACTCTACCATGGGTCCAATCAAGAGAGGGACAGGATGGGGCGCCTGGGTGGCTCAGTCGTTAAGCGTCTGCCTTCGGCTCAGGTCATGATCTCAGGGTCCTGGGATCGAGCCCCGCATCGGGCTCCCTGCTCAGCGGGAAGCCTGCTTCTCCCTCTCCCACTCCCCCTGCTTGTGTTCCCTCTCTCACTGTGTCTCTGTCAAATAAATACATAAAATCTTAAAAAAAAGAGAGGAACAGGTGAACATTCCCAATTCGTGATCTGTTCTTCAGAATAATTGGGGGATCTATTTCCTAATCCTAACCTAACCCAGGATTTTTTGCAAAGGGAAAAAAAGTGTACTTCTTACCTCTCTCTGTTCTGGGACAAGTGTATAGAATGGTAGAGTTGAACGTGAAGTGACTGCTCCGAAAGGTGACAGTGGCATGTCAATTGCATCCTCTCAGATGTCTGGCAGCCATAATTCCCTTGACTAAAAAAGATCAGTTACCTAACGTTCAACAAACAGTTCAAAAGGATGGTCTGCTGGCCTCATCAGCTCTAATTTTCCGTTTTGTAGCCCAGCCATTAATTCATTGTCTTATAAAATTCTCAGACTTTTGGCCCCATCACTGCCCTAGTGAGACTGTATATGGCATCTTCAGCAAACTGCCTGCCATTCTGAACCTTGAACTTGTTACTTGCTGTTTGTCCCCCTGAGTTTGCTAATAGAGCATTGCTTTGGCTTTTGTTCTCACTGCATTTTTGGCCAAGGGAGTATGGCTGGGCTCTGCTGCATCTGACTAGATGGCATTTTAGAAGTGGCTCTGATGATTAGTTAGTTCATCTTCCCACCATTTGCTTGGAATCGGAATCTATCATGCCAAAGACACTTCAGTGCTCTGTGAGCAGTGAAGGACAATTTGTGATGAACTGGCCCATCATGGGCTGCCAGGGCCAGGAGAGAGCTCTGACTTGTTGGCCTTAATGAGGAGGGTGTCTCCACCGTCAAATGGCAGCTGCACCTGCTGGGCCTGCTCATGTTCTTTGCAGAAGATTTGCAGAGTGCAAGAAACAGAGCATCTAAGTCACTACCTCATTTCTGCCTCTGGCTGTGGAAAGTGATGCTGAATGTCGTCTGCCTACCTCCCAGGAGAAATGGGTAGGTGACCTGCCTGCAAGGAGTCCATGTGTTTTTGCCTGGTAGAAGATTCTACAGTTCCAAAGGCTGCCTATCACCAACAGAATCCTGAATGAGTACAGAGCAGCGGCAGAGCATTTGCAAGCACTGTCCAAAAAAATATAAAGTCTTGCTCCACTTTGGTTTGGGATGCATGTGAATGTACATTCATGAGTATGCCCTCTTACTTTTTAAAATCTATAACTTTTATGAATTTTTTCTCAGCACAAAAATAGTGCATGCTCATTATAGCAGTTTAGAAAATACCAATGAGCAAGAATAAAAAAAATTAAAATTACCCTTACTCCATCTTCCAAAGATAACCACTATGACACCCCAGTTTTAGTCTCTACCCCCAGTTACTTTCCTATGGCTGTATATTCTTTTTATAATGAAAATGAGATTGTATCAAAGCAACTATAGCTATAATAAGTAGTTAATGGATACACAAAATTAAAAGAGGTAGGTATCCACAATCCCAGTTTTCAAAGTATACAAAGTATATACAAAGCTGTAGTAATCAAAAGTATGGTACTGGCACAAAAATAGATACGTGGCTCAATGGAACAGAGTGGAGAGCCCAGAAACAAACCCATGCATATATGGTCAATTAATCTATAACAGAGGAGACAAGAATGTATAATGGGGAAAAGACAGTCTCTTCAACAAATGGTGCTGGGAAAACTGGACAGTTACATACAAAAGAATGAAATTAGACCACTCTCTCTCACCATTCACAAAAATAATCTCAAAATGGATTAAAGACCTAAATGTGAGACCTAAAACTCCTAAAAGAAAACATAGGCAGTAAATGTGAGACCTAAAACTCCTAAAAGAAAACATAGGCAGTAATCTCTTAGACATCAACCTTAGATGTCTTAACAACCTTAGCAATGTATTTATGGATATGTTTCCTCAGGCAAGGGAAACAAAAGCAAAAATAAACTATTGAGACTATACCAAACTAAAAAGCTTCTGCACAGCAAAAGAAGCTATCAACAAGATGAAAAGGCAACTTACTGAATGGGAGAAAATACTTGCAAAAGATATATCTGATAAGAAGTAAATATCCCAAATATATAAAGAACACCTACAACTCAATACCAGAAAAACAAATAATCCAATTAAAAAATGGGCATACCTTAGTAGACATTTTCCTGAAGAAGACAGATGGCCAACAGACACAGAAAAGATGCTCAACATAATTCATCATCAAGGAAATGCAAATCAAAACCACAATGAGATATCACCTCACACTGTCAGAATGGCTAAAATAAAAAAGACAAGAAATAACAAGTATTGGTGAGGATGTGGAGAAAAGGGAACCCTTGTGCACTGTTGGAGGGAATGAAAATTGGTGCAGCCACTGTGAAAAACAGTATGGAGATTCCTCAAAAAAACAAAAATAGAAGTACCATATAATCCAATAATTCCACTTCTGGAAATTTACCCAGAGGAAATGAAAGCACTAGTTTGAAAAGCTATCTGCACCCCTATGTTTATTGCAGCATTATTAACAATAGCCAAGAGATGGAAGCGACCTAAGTGTCTATCCATAGATGAATGGATAAAGAAGAGGTGGCATACATATACAATGGAATATTCCTCAGCCATAGAAAAGAATGAAATCTTGCCATTTGTGACAACATAGATGCAATTTTAGGGTATTATGCTAAGTGAAATAAATCAGACAGAAAAAGACAAATACCGTATAATTTCACTTATATGTGGAATCTAAAAAACAAAGCAAATGAACAAACAAAACAGAAACAGACTAATATGTACAGAAGAGAAAATGTTGGTTATGGGGTGTGGGGAGGGCGTGGATTGGGAGGGCAGGCGAAATAGATTAAGGGGATTACAAGGTATAAACTTCTAGTTATAAAATAACAGCATAGGGAACATAGTCAATAATATTGTAATAACTTTGTATAATGACATATGTTAACTAGATTTATCATGGGGATCATTTCATAATGTGTAAAAACATCGAATCACTATGATGTGTACCTGAAATGAATAGGATATTGTATGTCAATTATACTTCAGTAAAAAAATGGGATTGTATTGCACATGCTGTTTTACAATTGGCTTCCTTTTATTTAACATATAGCTATCTTTCCATGTCATTAAAGATTTTTCTATGCCAGTGATTTTCATTGTCCTTTGTGTTTGGAGCATACTTTCAAGTCCTATAATTTTCGGCAGCATGTTTGAAGAAATGAAAAAGACTCTAACTACTGAATGTAAAAATGTCTTTCGCTGTAAAAACCTCCAGCATTTTCCCACTGTTTGCCTTACCCCCCCTTTAGAACCCTGTCCTTGCTTGAGTAGAGCTTTTTGCTGCTCCTACTACCGTTCACTCATATCCTGAAAAAGCGAAGTTGAGCACTTTCCCATAAACATTCTGGGCTTAATCTGAGCTTTTTATTTATTCCTCACAGCAGGAAGCCTTCTCCAGTGCTCTGTGTAACCCACTCAGCTCCGTGTGCCATTTCTACCAGCATGTGCGTTCCTTCCGGCGGCCGATGGGAATTGGGGTGTGTGGCTGCCCTTCTCCACCGTCACGATTAGCGGCGGTGTGCCGTGCCCGCATGGACATGCATCATCGTTTGTTAACCACTTTCCTGTCACATGAGAGGGATCTTTAGGTGGTTTTTGCTTTGTCACTTTTATAAGCAGTGATGTGATGCAAGGGAGTTCCTTGTTGCTAAATGTTTACGTTCAGCTGAAGTTACAATGAGCTGGATCCCTCTTTTGTTTAGCTCCAGACTTATTTAAATTTTATTATCAATTAGTTTTATTATATAGCAAACTGCCCCAACATGTGTTGGCTTAAAACTTAGTTCACAATTCTGGGAGCCAGTTGGACGGTACTGATGTGGGTCAACGTGGTGAATCTCTGCCGGACTCATGCATCTGTGGTCAGCTGACGGGCTGGCTGAGGCTGGCTGATCCGGGATGGCCTCGCTTGCATGCCTGGCAAGTGGCATGCTGTTTGCCTGCTGCAACAGAGGTGTCTCGGTCACACGACTCTACCCATAAAGTTTGCCCTGCCTTCTTCACTTGGCAGTGGTGGCTGGGGTCCCATGGGCAGCAAGAGGCAAACCCCAATGGGCAAACACTTTTCAAGCCTCTGTTTGCCTCCCTTTTGCTAATATTCTGTTGGCTGAAGGGAGTCCTAAAGCCAGCACAGCATCAGTGTGGGAGGGCTCTACTGAAGAGCATTGGGAGAGGGAGGGCAATAATTTGGGTACAGTTTTTGCAATCTACTATGGTCAATATTTTAAAATTGAGATTTCTTGGTCCTATCGAAAAACCTAGTTTGGCTACTCTGGATCCCCCTTGTCACATTGCAATAATGGGCAGGTCCCTTGCAGAGTGCCACCATCCACGCGTTGGACAGAAAGTACACTTCTTAGCCAGCTCCTCTGTCTGCTGCGTTACCTGCTGAGCCCCCACAGACATTTACACCTACGGCCTCTAGGCATACAGCCAGGAGGATTCTTAGGATATACTCATAGAAGTAGAACTGCCCAGTTTATTTATTTTATTTTTTTCTTTTTTTTAAAGACCTTATTCATTTATTTGACAGAGAGAGACAGCGAGAGCAGGAACACAAGCAGGGGGAGCGAGGGAGAGGGAGAAGCGGGCTCCCCGCTCAGCAGGGAGCCCGATGCGGGGCTCCATCCCAGGACCCTGGGACCACGACCCGAGCCGAAGGCAGACGCTCAACGACTGAACCAACCAGGTGCCCCAGAACTGCCCAGTTTAAAGTTGCACATATTTTTAAAAACTACTTTGACTTTATAAAACTTTTTTAAAAAAGATTTTATTTATTTATTTGACAGAGAGAGAGCGAGAGCAGGAACAGAAGCAGGGGGAGTGGGAGAGGGAGAAGCAGGCTTCCTGCCGAGCAGGGAGCCCGATGCGGGGCTCGATCCCAGGACACCGGGATCATGACCTGAGCCGAAGGCAGACGCTTAACGACTGAGCCACCCAGATGCCCCGACTTCCTAAAACTTTTTTTTTTTTTTTAAAGATTTTATTTATTTATTTGAGACAGAGAGAATGAGAGACAGAGAGCATGAGAGGGAGGAGGGTCAGAGGGAGAAGCAGACCCCCTGCCGAGCAGGGAGCCCGATGCGGGACTCGATCCAGGGACTCCAGGATCATGACCCGAGCCGAAGGCAGTCGCTTAACCAACTGAGCCACCCAGGCGCCCTTCCTAAAACTTTTTAAAAATTATTTTAAAAACTACTTTTGCTTGGGCAGAATATATGGGTTGGTTTTAAATGCCAGTTAATCTCCCCAAACTTCAATGGTCCCTGAGGAAGTTCTTGCTGGGGCACACACACGTGCAACTGAGGCAGTAGAATGAGTCTGTCTTCATCCCTTTCTCTGGAGAGTTCTCCGGAACTGGTAGTTTTGGAAAGAGACTCCCCTCATTCAGTTATTCAGCAGATACTTATTGAGAAGTTACTATAAGCCAGTCACTCTGCTAGGTGGGGAAGAAAGAAGATGACCAAGAAATACACAGTCCTCCAGGAACTCACTGTTTGGCCGATGAGCCCAATGTGGATTGGATCTGTAATCACAACATGGTACAATAAGGTCCATGCCTGAATGCCTAGTCTGTGGGAACACGGAAGAGAAACAATTCATCCTGCCTTGATTCAGAGGTGGGAGGCCTGGGGCATACTTGCATGAGGCTCCCTCACTTGGACACATCTCTATGCCATTTTCCTCACATGTAATACAAGGTATGATAACCATACCCACCTATGGTTACAGTGAGGATACAGAAAGCTTATAACAGTGTCAGGCACAGAAAAATATTTCACCAAATCATTGAGCTGAATTATTTTAGCTATGAGGGTTTTTCTTATACTCTTCACCCTGCCAGGGCCCTAAGAAGTATGAAGGTCAGAATCACCTTTTCCTGTTGTGATTTGCAGTATGGAAATAGAAAGTGCATGGTCCTTCAGTACTTTTACCAGGACTCTGAAAATAAGGAATATGAACTGGTAAGCCAATTCAGAGCATATTCAGAATTGGGATGGGATTCTGATCTAACATGTGACTGTCATTAAATGAATCCCTACAAACATTGAGCTACCGATTTGTGTAAGCTACCAGAGATAGAAAGATAAAGAAGACATAGATCCTGCCCTGTAGGATCATAGCCTGCTGGGGAGACAAACATAACAGCTGGCAATCATGATACTGTGTGGCCAGCTCAGAGGAGGGAGCAATTAAGTTGGCCACAGAGGAGGTGGCACCTCAATGGGGCTTTCATAAGTTCTGCCCAAGTTAGTATGTTGGTCCCTTTGGGGGACACTAATGCATATGGACCCCAGAATTCCACTTAATTTATTTATTTGATATCCAATTTGACAAATAGCACTTCTTGCCATGGGTCTACAAGATGCTTCCATGGTGCTGTCAAGGGAATCTTATTTATAGACTAAGTGGCCCATATTATCCAATTCTGTACATCGAGACAACAAGACATTGAGAAACATGTGGTTTATTTATCCACAGTAGAATTGGATCTGGCTTCAGATTTTAGATTTCAGGCATATTTGGGGGGGTTCTTTGTGCCATTCCTAGCCCTTAGTTCTTCCTCTGAAAGACGCACAGATTAAAATTAGATGTTGCTGGCATAGGTGGAATATTTTTAATGTAATTACTGCCTGTTTACTTCTTAGAATCACAAACAGAGCTTAGAAGAACAGGGATGTCTATCTTGTTGGCATTTACTGTTTTTGTAGGAAAATTAAAGTCTCACAAAGACACAGTTCAGTGAGCCAATTAACCCTTGTTTGTTAAAATTATATAAAATATATGGCAATGATTCTGAAAGCTATTATTAATTCAAAACATAGGCCATGAAATCCGGGTTTGAGTACTTAAGAAGTAAAAAATAGACCCAACGTCTTGATAATATTTATATTCATTTCATTTTCACATTCTGTCTCTGGCCAGTGCTGTTTTTAGTGTCAGATTACATTCCTAATGGAGAATATTTGTGGAAAATATTTGCTATAGTCTGAATGCTTATGTTCCCCCCACCCCCATTTATATGTTGAAATTCTAACCCCCAAAGTTGAGGATCTTAGGAGATGGGGCCTTTGGGAGGTAATTAGGTCACCAGGGGGGAGCCCTCATGAAGAGACCCCACAGAGCTTCCTAGCTCCTTCCTCTGAGCCAGGATACAGTGAGAAAACCCGAGCTCTAAACCAGAAGAGGTCCTAGAACATGACCATGCTGGTGCCTTGCTCCTAAACTTCCCAGCTTCCAGAATTGTGAGCAATAAATTTTTGCTGTTTATAAACTACTCAGTCTGTGGTATTTTGTTATAGCAGCACAAACAGACTGAGACAATATAAAATGGATTAGATCAAATAATTATTATTCTTTCTTTTGGTGACATATAACCTCCTTCTTGTCAGCTTCTAGGAGATGAATTGATTTAATCAGGACTTTGCTGATACCACAGTCTTTGGCATGACTTCTTGGCTCATTGCTGATCCCAGGAAAAGACTGAGTGCCGACAAATGAAGTAAGTCAGTCCATTCATAGACTGGTGGTGAACTTAGTGCCTCTGGCTGTCATGGCCAAGGATGAGGGGGATCTGTCTAGGGAATAGTTCTTTGAAGGCTCAGAGTATCTGTAATAGGTGGTGGTTCTTACGCAGGTAGGGGGCATAGATCCCTTTAAGAATGTGAAAAGGCTGTCAAATATGCAGGAAGAATGCAGGCTTCTTTGTGGAATCATTCTTTTAAAAAATGCACGTGTACACACATACACACCACAACACTTGGCATTTAATTTTTAGGAGATTCCCACTACACCTGAATCCAGTTCACTCATCCCGAGAACCCTAAGTCTGTAGGGTCCCCGGCATCAGACTTCATCAGCATCTAGGCCTGACTAGTCACTTTTTGGTTTTGTAGAGTATACGGAAGATTGGCGTCCAACAGAATGAAGTTCAATGTTTCTGTTGGATTTCACTAGCATATAATTCCTGGTATGAAGGGCTAACCATGGTATTGGAAGGAAGGTGAAACCATTTGTCTAAACCCTGATCTTTATACAGCTGATCACAGATCTTCTGTCCTATGGGAAGACAGGCAGGTAAAGGGCTTGCAGACATGAAATGTATGACAATCTCTAGCTTCTAGGAGCTTTCTGCCTTCAGCCCATCTCTGTAGTACCAGGGATCCTAGACAGGAAAGGACTGAGACTTTTGTGCCCAGCACACTGGGAATAATTGTTTTCAGGGGGAAGTTATATAGAGCCTCATCTACTTTATATACTGGGAAATTATTTCTGACAATATCTTTTTGTCCAGCCATCTGCTTGGATCAAGTTTCTGCCAGCCTCTGGAAGAAGTAATTATTCCCTGCTCTGAAACTGAACTCCATGCTGGCTGTCTGCTGAGGGAGTGGACACTTTGGTTGTCTGTTTTCTATTGTCAAGGGTTCTTTTGTCACTTACTATTGTCAGCTGCTGATTTTCCAACAAACACTATCTTTGAGGCTAAAAATAAACCCTCCCAACACAAGTCCTCTCTTTATGATAATGTGAAAGACTAAATAGAGCAGTCAATTGTGGATATAATTTTATTCAGGCTATCGCAATAGAGGGAACATTTATTAATGAGAAATGTCTCAAAGAAAAGGAAGGAGGCCTGAGTTTTATAGAGGCAAGTAAACAAGGGAGTCATCCACAAGTCTTACGGGAATCACGAGGAAAGATAGAGGTGGGTCTTATCTCGGAGTATGGGAAGGCTGGGTTGTCCTTTGTGGTGGTTAGCTATTTCTTGAAACGCAAAAGGCTGGGGGGATTTCTCAACCTCCAGTGCTTTCAGGGAGCACAGAGTTCAGACAAAGTTCAACATTGTCAAAAGTCACATCGTTTTTTTTTTTTTTTAAGATTTTATTTATTTATTTATTTGAGACAGAGAGAATGAGAGACAGAGAGCATGAGAGGGAGGAGGGTCAGAGGCAGAAGCAGGCTCCCTGCGGAGCAGGGAGCCCGATACAGGACTCAATCCCGGGACACCAGGATCATGACCTGAGCCAAAGGCAGTCGCTTAACCAGCTGAGCCACCCAGGCGCCCAAAAGTCACATCTTTTTAACTTTCAAGAGCCTAAAGCAAATTTGGAAGAAAAAAATTGTTTTTGTAAGGTTTGGGTGTGAGGTAAAATCAGAATTCTGGCATCTTGACTGCCTGTTCTAGAAAAGACACTTAAGCTGTCTCCTCATTTGATTTGGCCAAAGAAAAATGAATGGTCTGCATGATCAAAGCTTAAGAAAAGGAAAAGAAGCAAAGCTATTATGACTTTCCTAGAGACATAGAGAACCCATGGAACAATTTTCAATTTGTACCAGTCATGGGAACTCTGTGACTTACAAAAATTAATCAGCATGTATGTTTTGAGCACCTGCTGTATGCCAGGCATGGATAAAGATGCTGGGCATACAGCAGTCAGTGTACCAGTCCAAAATTTCTCCCCTCGTGGAGCTCCCTGCTACAGAGAAGAAGAATGCACAGAGGGACAGTGAGAGCCAGAGGAAGGGGCTGTGCAGTTTTTCAAAAAGTTTGGTCCGAGAAGTTTCCATAAGACGGTAACAGGAGTAAAGCCCTGAGGAAGTGAGGGAGGGAGCCGTGCTGAGGCCTGAGGGAATCTTTTGGGTGGAGGGAAGGACCAAGTGTGAGGGCCTGAGATGGGAACTTGCCAAACATTTGCAAGGAATAGCAAGGAGGCCAGAGTGGCTTGAGTGCAGCGGGCAAAAGAGCAAGTAGTCGGGGCTGAGGCCGGAGAGTCGTGGGAAGCAGAGGATAGATAGTCTGATGGGCCATCGTAATGACGTTGGCTTTCACTCAGGGTAACTTGGGAAGCCACTGGTTGACTTTTGGCAGAGACATGACATCGTCTAATTTCTATTTTCAAAGGCTCACTCTAGCTAACATTTTAAGAGGGCTGAAGGGAAACACCAAAGAGGCTACTGTGCCTTTCTCGAGAAGGTGGGGGCTTGGATCAAGATGGTCATGGTGAAGTATAGTGAATGTGTGATGTGCTGCTCAGCTCCCCTTCACGAAAGAAAGATTGATTCCTCCAGCAGCTGGGAGGCCCCTAGCTAATGGCTTTTGGCTGTCAGCCGTCTTCAAGAATTGCCTCCTCTGAAGAGAGCTGTTGTGCCCAATGGCATTCCCCCTTCCCAGAGCAGTCTGCATCCAGTGACCTGTCAGTAAGGTGTATAAAGGCCTGGTGCCTCACCTCAATTCAAGACAATTCCCAAGGGCTGTCCTAGCTCAGAGCTCCTTGTGCAGGCAGTGCCCATTGTGACCGAATCACAGCCCAACTTTTCCTTCTGCCCAAACCTGTTTGCTTCCCTCCTCAGGCGTGGTGGATCCCAGGAGCACTCCCAGATAAGCTTCCTGCCCACTGAGCTCCATCTCAGAGTCAGCTTCCAGGGGGACATAACCTGTGACACGGAGAGGGGAGCAGTGGTCAGAAATATATTCTCAACATATTTTGAAGGTAGAGCCAAGTGGATTTGCCGATGGATTGGATGTGATGTTAAAAGTAGAAAAAAAAATCAATGATGAAACACTGAGATTTTTGTCCCAAACAAACAAAAGGATGGAATCACTATTAACAGATACGAGAAAGACCATGGGAAAGGCAGGGGTTTTGGGGGTTGGTGAGGAAGGTAGGGAATATAATAAATAAAAATAAACTCTTAAGATTCATGTAGGTAAAAGGTCAAATTCCATTTCCAGGAGGACAGTCTTAACTTTGACTTTGAATACTCCCAACATTATACAGTTTTAGATAGCATCTGTTGTAGTAGACGTTTCATTTAATTTGAGGAATGTGAGAGCAATTAAACATAAAAAATGTGAATGCATATTTTCAACCATTACACAATGGTTGCTAATTCATAGAGACAGAGAGAGTCGAAGTAGTTTTATAAGGGAACAAAGCCAGCCTTTGTTCATTGGCACATCCACCAGGATATGTACCAAGAAGATGTTTGGGTTTTTTTTCTGTAAGGCCCTTATAATTTATAATACAATAACAGGCTCCCATGAGAAGTTGAAAAGAAGCAAAACTGCTTACAAGCTGTATATATCACACACCCAGACAAAAATCCCAAGGCAACATGGTAGTAATCACAATGACATGACACCACCTTGTACAGATAGAGCTCTAAGAAAACTCACAGTGAAAAGAAAGTCTACTGTAGAGCACAACAGGTAGAACATGAATCTTGAACTGGTCCTTGATAGAGTAGAGAGTAAGTAGAAAGGCTTGGGAAGGGTGTTTCTAGAGGAAGGAGGAATGTGAGAGAAGGCCCAGAAGTGAGGATGGGTAAGACAGAGACTAGCAACAGTTGTGATGAGTCTGCCTCCCAAGAAGATTACATCAATTGGGTAAAGTGGGGAAAGTCAGCTAACTTCTAAAACCAGGCAAGGAGTTTGGAGTCCTCCTTTTGATTACTAAGGGAACAGAAGTAATTTTCTCAAAACTTTTAAGGTGCCAACATGCATTGTGAATCTCCAAAATGGAAATGGGCGGTATTTCCCAAACTTAATTGACATTGGAAGCTTTTTTCCATGATACCACCTGTTACCATCTTTGGGAAGATTGATTCTACAGGCATATGGAGGCAGATGACACTCAAACATGGAGTGTGCTGGGAAAACTAGTGGCTCAAAGCTGCCAAAAGTAACCAAGATTTTTAAAGGACACGGACAGTATTTTGGGTGGTGTGCAAACAGCATTAATTCATTCTCATCCTCTCGCAATTCATCCTCACTGTTCGCAGCATATTATGGGCCACTTGGAAAGAGATTTGTGGTTCTCCGGGCCTTCTTTTCCTGCCTTAGTGATTGATAAGTCTGTCATGTTTTTTAATTGTACGACCCTTGTATTCTTGCAAGATACCTTCCTGGCTTGCTGTCACTGCATTTAGTTCAGGCGGGAGGTTGTGCTGCCTGTTCTTCAGCAGGCAGTGGGCTCTCTGGTCATTGTCAGATGCCAGGTGGCACCTGTAAGACAAGCAGGAAGGAACTGCTCTTGCCCCATGACAGCAGCCCCAAGCCAGAAGGCTCTGTCTATAGCCCCAGGCCTTCGCGGTCTGTCCCCACTCTTGCCAGGACTTTCTGTGTCTTCGCTCTCTTCCCATTTGGGTTCTCCTTTGCTTACTCTGGTGCCTCTCACTGTAAGCCACTTAGAAATTGAACTTGACTCTTTCTTCTCTTCCTTCTGTAGATCAAAAATGTCTGAAAATAGCTTGGTGTTTTGTCTGTTGGTTTTGTTTCTAATGGAGCCTCTGTCAAGTCTATAGGAGTAGTTGTCAGCCGGGGGAAGGGGTGGGGGGGTGGTACTATACCCCCCAGCCCTTTACCATGTGGCATTTGGAAATGTTTGGAGGCATTTGTGGGGGGGGCTTGTCCCCAGGCATGGGGGGGGGTACTGCTGCCATGTCATGGGTAGGGGCTGTGCATAGTGTGGGAGGTTGCCCTCCACAATGCAGAGCTGCCTTGCCTGAAATGCCAGGGATGTCCCCAATGGGAACCACTGTAAGCTTCCCAAACTGCAGTCATTTGAGTCCCATTTGGATAATTTTCAGTTTCGAATGTACCACCAATGCCATTCTTAGTTTAATATTTTTTCTTTGAATTAACTCATTTAAAAAATCTTTCAGCAATAATATGTTTAAAAAAACATAATAGTATGTTTAAAAAATAAAAAATAGTATGTTTAAAAAAATAGTATGTTTATATATTTTACAGTACTCATAGAAATAAATACCTAACACTTCATTAGTAACACATACATGAAGTTTGGGAAATACTGGGCCCTTCTTATACCTTGTTGGGTGCTTGAAGGGAGCATTAGCCCTGCATTCATTCTCTCTTCTGAACTATGAAGGTTTAAGCAAGTGCAACTGATGGACTCCTTAGAATGGGCCTTCTAAGGGCAAGGGCCATGTCCCATGTTTAATGTCCCATAAAGGTCATTTATTTTATATAAAGAAGAAGTCTGTTCCACTGCCAATGACGGCATTCTTGACCCAAGCCCGCTGTCTCTTTGCTGGTTGCAAAGTCATAGGATAAAGGTGAGGATTACTTGGCATTTGCCTCCTTGGATTGTCAGCTCCGTGACTTTCCTAATGCAAAGTCAGGCACAAGCTTCGTGATTAATGAGTCTCGGTGAATGAATGAAAACCTGAACAAATGAATGTATGCTTACCCATCACCACTAGACAAACCATGGGGCACTGTAAATGTTACTGTCACTGAGTAAAAAAAAAGGCTTGCACGTGTTTCTTGGGCAAGTTCCATAACTTCTCTGCTTCAGATTCATTACCCCTGAAACAGGGATAATGGCACCACCCTGGCGGCACTGACATGAGGAGTCCCTGGGATCAGATTTGTGAAGTGCCTAGAGCAGCGTCAGGCATAGAATAAATGTTACAGAAATATTCGATGATGAATGAATCGTGTCTGTCTTGGACTTAGGTATTCAGTATTCGTGGAAAGAGGGAATCAACAAATGCTGGGTCGCAATGTTCCTACACCCACATCCTTGCTGCGGAGCAGTTCCCGCAGGCAGCCACAACCCCTGAAGGAGAGCATCCCAGGCTCCGGTGAGGGGTCCTGCTGCAGTCCTCAGCACAGAAAGAACTCTCCAGAACAGGTAACCCAGGGTGAGGCGCCCCTTCCCTCCACCTCATTATAGGCTGCACCAAAGCTGTGTCCTGATTTACTCGAGGCGATGCTAGAACATATCCAGTGAACTAAATTCCTGCTCCGTCTCAATGGACTCGTTCCACGGGAACACCATATTCACCTACACGGAGCCCAGAGGTGGAAGGGAGACAAGAGAGAGAGGGGTCAGGGCCCGGAGAGAGTTTCTGTCATGAACCAGGCACAGGGAAAGTGATCTCAAGTGTTTTGTGTCACTTCATCCTCTGACAGCCTTAGCAGCCAGGATTTTAGCCTGATTTCCCTTATTTTACAGGTCAGAAACCTGGTGCTCCAGGCAGCTAACTAACCCGGCCAACGTCACTCACTACAATACATAGCATTGCCAAAATTTGAACTCATACCCACCCGAGTTGGTTTTTTTTTTAAACCCCCCAAGGTACAGCCGAGGGCCCGGAATGACCATGTCAGCTTCATACTAAAATGTTTCCAGCCCACCTGCTGGATCTTTGGTGTCAACACCTTTCTCCTGTCATTAGGACAGAGATTAGGTGAGCGATGTTCATGAAATAGGCGTGCTTTAACCGCTCCCCCTGCGCCGGCCATGAAGTCATGGAACGTAGCAGCAAAGGGAGGTTGCAGTTACTGCCCGTGGGATTTCATCAAAAGCCAAGATCATCCTGGCTGAGACAGTCGGCAGGCAGGGCATGGCTCGGCTGTGAATAGAGCATTTGTCTCATTGGCTGCAGGAAAAGGACTCTATTCATAACCTTCTCCTGATAGCCTTTTGTACGAGAAAGTGTAGGAAAAGCCAGATTCTCTGCAAGAAGGGACCTGTTCCTGTTCTCTGAGCATGGGGATTCCTTATTCCATTCCTGGCAATCCTGATTTTAGGTAAATGGGTTACATTTTCTTTCTCCCACAATTATGGGGGCAGCACTAAGAAGTTGTCTTAGTATCTGAGTGTACTGGGTAGCAGTCTGACTTGATCTAGCTAAATGGAATCCGAGCTCCTCCTTGCCTTCACTAAAGAATCTCTTTGCTCTCTGTCCTCACCCCAAAGCCTTCCTTCTGTCTCTAGGGAGTAGACTCCAAAACTGTTTCCAAAGTGAAATGTCATTAATATACTCTACCCTCTGAGGAATAATCCTCCTGCCTTTCATAGCTGACTGTGACTGCATCCGGCCTCCCAAACAGCTTACCTGATTAAATCACCCACAGGATTGGGAAGTGACCTATCATCTGAATTTGTTAATTCCAGCAAAGATTATGTGAAGTTGACATTGGTAAGTCTCAAGTTTGGGCTCCGTGTAATGATCTGAGGCATTCCCTTCCTGGCCCCGTTGACCATGAGGTAAACAGATCTCCAACCATGGTGGCCTCCCTTGCCGTGGGAGGGATTATGCTCAGGCAGAAATGACCCCAGTATTCAAGACTCGTGGTGAGTGTTTCAGGCACAAACCCACATGGATGCATCTTCACTGCTCCAATCTCCAGTTGGCACTTGTAAGAACCTCTTCCCTCCCATGTGCAAGCTGTGGGCGTCCCACATCAAGGCACCTTGGTTTCCTCTTCTTCAGACTCTACATCTCACACGCCACCTCAAACTTTCCTGCTCTTACCTGGTTCTTTCATTCATTCACTCACTCATTCGTTCATTCAACAAATATTTTTTTGTGGCACCTATAATATGCCAAGCACTGGTGAGGGATATCATAGTGAACTAAACAAGCATACATCCTGTCCTCATGGAGCTTACCATCTAGTGAAAAGTTATAAGATACAACAAGTGGTAACAAGGAAAACATCAGTGAGCTATGGGAGCATACTGAAAGGAGGCCCACTCTCACCTGGGTGTCAGAAGGTTCCTGTGAGGACACTCTGGTTCCCCACTCTCTGCCTCAGTGCCTCAGGCCTGGTCCCGGAGTTCTCTCATCGGTTAGCCTTCCATTTTGATGGCTCAGTTGGACCATTTATTTCACTTTCGAGTTCTTCTCTCCAAGATGCCACCTCTCAGTAATGCCCCTTTATTCTATGAACCACAGCCAAAGATGACAGGGTGAAGGCTATCAGAGATTATTTTACAAATGTTAGTCAGTGACTATGGAAATGGGGAGAAAAAGGTTGACATGAGACACAACAGCTTGTAACCTGGAAACATTACTGTAAATTCGATGTGCCAGTTCTAGAGCACTGGTAACAAGGTGCCATTTCTTGTGCCTGGCCCATCACCCTACTCAGGCAGTACATACTGTCCCAGCCTCTACATCCAGGACCCCAATATTCTAAGAGGTGGTGTCATATAATATTATTTCACTTGCCTCTAGTTTGCCTAGGAATTAGTTTAAGAGTGTTGTTTCATTTGTTTGCTAATTCAAAAAAAGTAGTTATGCCAATGGGTCAGGTGCTGTGCAAGGCAGTGGAGGGGGCTATGGTGACAAGACATGAGCAGCGTCTTGCTCAATGCAGCTCGTGTCTATGTCCCAAAGTCAAATGAACAACACATCAGGACATCAATGGAGATGCTACCACACTGAAGGGGCATCATGTTGAGGCCAACTCGCGTGGCCCAGACTTTACAAAAGCCACAGTCCACGCTGCCACCATAGGGTATTGGCAGGAACTTCCAGAACTTTCCACCTGCTCTTCAGTCACTTGTTATTTCATTTTTACTTTTATTGAGGTAATGCGATTCTATAAAGAGTCAAATAGTCTTACACAACTGAGTACAAAGAACATCCCTTGACCATCCACTTCCCTCATTTAAAAGTCCACCAGGGAAACCACTTCAATTTATTTAGCTGTTTCATTTTGGATTTACCATATCTCTTAATAGCTGCTACCCCTTGATTTTTTTATGACAATTATATTGAGGTATAATTCATGTACCATGAAATTCACCCTTTTAAATAATTGTACAATTCATTGATTTTTTTACTGTATTCACAGAGTTATGCCACCATCACCACTGTGTAATTATAGAACATTTTCAATACCCCAAAAGAAACACCAAACACATTAGCAGTCACTCCCCATTTCCTCTGCCCCCAGTCTCGAAAACCACTAATCTACCTACTTTCTCTATGGATCTGCCTATTATGGACATTTCATGTAATGGAATCATGCAGTATGTGACCTTTGTGTCTGGCTTCTTTCACTTAGAGTAATGTTTTCAGAGGTCATCCATGTTGTAGCACATGCCAGTAATTCATTCCTTTTTGTAATTGGGTGATATTCCATTGTATGGATATACCATTTTTTGTTTATCCATTCAATAGTTGATGGACATTTGGGTTGTTTCTATTTTTGGCTATTATGAAGAAAGCTGCTATAACATTTGTGTACAAGTTTTTGTGTGGACCTGTTTTTAATTGTCTTGGGTATATGCCTAAGAGTGGAATTGCTGAGCCACTGATTTTTCAAGCTTTGGGCATTATCTACTGGCTTCTCACTGTGGAGTCACTATGGAGACATCTTACCTTCCATTACTACCTCTCCCCCACATACACACTTCCTATCCTTCATTCTCCCAATGTTTATAACATAATTTTGATTGGATTGATATTAATATGATAATATAAATGTTAAAATATGATTAATTTTCCTTAAGGAACTTTTGGTTTTACCTGGAGTTATTTGTCTTGTTTGTTTATTTTCTATGTATTTATCACCAATTCATCTTTATTTATTTATTTTTTAAAGATTTTATTTATTTATTTGACAGAGAGATAGAGAGACAGCTAGAGAAGGAACACAAGCAGGGGGAATGGGAGAGGGAGAAGCAGGCTCCCGGCCGAGCAGGGAGCCCTATGCGGGGCTCAATCCCAGGACCCTGGGATCATGACCTGAGCCGAAGGCAGACACTTAACAACTGAGCCACCCAGGTGCCCCTCACCAATGCATCTTTAAACTCTTCCTCAGGAGTTTCATTTCCTCTCCAAATATTCATGCATTAGGCATTCTATCAATTTCATCATCCTAAGTTTCTCTCAGAGTCTTCTGACTTGCTCCAATCTAGACTAGTTGTTCTCTAGACCTGTAGCATGGCTGTTATCCTGAGATTGCCCTTCAACAACACATAAGGGGTTTCTTTCACCTCTCTCTTGTGTTGAGTTCCTTTTGTCCTAGATCCCATATCTTTCTCTCTCTTGTTTCACTCCCTTATTTTTGTGGGATAGCTCCTCCAGTTGCATCCTGAAAACATTACGTAGTGTATGTTGTGTCAGAACTTGCCTATCTGAAAAGGCTTTATATTATTTAATTATTGCTAATTTTGTTTTTATTAATTTTAATTTTTGCTAGTTTCACTTGGTATAAAATTCTATAAAATTCATTTTTCTGCAGAATTTTTTCTAGTTTCCAGGACAGTTGCTATTGAAAAGATCCAAGCCATTCTGATTTTTTTTGGTCAGAATCTAACCAGTTTTTTACTCTCTAGAAGCTTTTAGGATTTTCTCTTTGACTCAAGTATTCTTAAATTTTAAAAAATGATATATTTTGACTAATGTATCTTGTTCTTTTTGCTGGACACTTGATGGTCTCCCTTTATCTGGCAATATCATTCAGTTCTAAGAATTTTTCTTGAGTTATTTCTTTAGTGATTTTATTTCCTCCACTTTCTTATTATTTTTTCCTATTTCTGTGACTCATATTATTTGGATATTGAACTTCCTGACTTGGTCCTTAAATGTTCTCATCTTTTCTCTCCTTTTTTCTGTCATTTTGTTATCCTTTGGAAGGTTTTGTCAAATTTTTCTTCCAACCTTTTTATTTTATTTTTTAAATTAAAAATTTTTTTGTTTTATTTTTGAGAGAGAGAGACAGAAAGAGTGAAAGAGTGTTTGTGTGGGGGTAGGACACAGGGAGAGGGAGAGAAAGAATCTTAAGCAGGCTCCATGCCCAGTGTGGAGCCTGTTGCAGGGCTTGATCTCACAGCCCTGAGATCATGATGTGAGCCAAAATCAAGAGTCTGACACTTAGCCAACCCACCCAGGCACCCAAATTTTTCTTCCAACCTTTTAATCAGATTTTTAGTTTACGCCGTATTTTAAAATTTCTAAGACTTTTTTTTTGTTTTATGAATGCACCTTTTAAAACATCATCCTATTGCTTCATGTTTTTGATATATCCTTTTAGCTCTCTAATAGTTTTCATCTTATTACTTAATTTCTGTTTTCTCCAAATTAATTTAGTCTTTCATGTTTGAGGCTTTTTTCAAATGTCTGGCGATCCTTGGCTGTGCATTTACATTTAAAATTGGGGTACTAAAAAGCTTAATGACAGCTCTGTATTGTGGTTGGGGCTTGAAGACCACAGATCACATGTAAAGAGATCAGGCTGGGCTGTTTAATTGGATAACCCTAGTATCAGTATCTTTAGATCTTTCCTTTGAAAGGTGTTTTTTGAAAAATTGTCTTATATCCTGCACAGTATTATGGGAACCAAGTGATGGAAGAGGGCTAGGAGCTATTGAGGGGGGGGGTCTTAATATTTAGTATTTAATGCTTTTGTTTTCAAAACTGTTACATCTCTCAACTGTGCCATGTGTCCCCCATCTCAGAGACCTGTTTTACTCTCTCCAGGGCATAAACCCCATTTTTTGCTGAGGTAGAAAGAGAGTGAGTCACCTGGTTGCACAAAGAAAGGAAGAGGATTTTTGTTGGGGGTAGGGGTGTATCTAGTCCTTAGATTTCTTTCTTCCCCATTCATCCCCAAATTATAAACTCCTGTTGCTTCTAATTCTTGATACTTTTGGGTTCTATATTGGAAAATGGGCTATATTTAGCTTGCTCACTTAGGAATTAGTTTTCCTGGGTCTGCTAGGTAGGTTATCTTTCCTCCTGTTTTTTTTAACTTGCAATGTTTTCTAGCTATAATTTCCCCTCCAATTCTCTTTTTCTCTTGGATTTATATCTTTTTAAAAAATACCTTTATATCAGTTAGTAGGAATCCAGAGAAAGTACAGGAAAATATGTCTGTTTAGTTTTCTAACTTTAAAGAGCCTTTCTAACTTTAAAGAGTTCTTCCTTTATATATATTTTACTGAGAAAATGCCCCAGTATGTAATTTGCTCTCTTAATGATTACTTTTTAAAGGTAAGGAAGACAAGGAAGCTACAGCAGTAATTTTGGAGGCATATTAAAGCATTTCTTGCTGACAAAATTGACAAAATTGTTGCAGGTTAAAATGAAATTGCAGTGACCTTAGTTCACAAAGACAAAGCTATCTTAAATTTTGAAGAGTTACGTAAATTGTGAAAGTAATGAGGGAATGTGAAGGTAATGAG